ACGAGCGCGTGGCGAACATTATTCGGCGCTTGCGCGCGGCGACGGTGCATGGCGGCGGGTGCTGGAGGCGTCCGCCCCCGCCGCCTTGACCTTCCGAGGGGCCTCGATGCCGTCGTGGTGGTCGACGCGCTTGCTAGAGCTTCTGGCCGGGGCAGAGGCGGGGCCCTGATGGCGAGGGCGACGGCGAAGGGGGGCAAGGGCGATGTGTGCGCGGGCGGGGAAGGCGGGGGGGGGGCGGGGGGGGGCGAACCAGACGGACGCCAGACCCGAGCGTTTCAACTGTGGGCGTTGGGGCCTCCGCGCAAGGGACTGCTGGCGCCCGGGGCGGGCGGGCGGCGAGGCAGGGCCCGAAGGGCGTGGTCGCGGGGGCCCTGGGGGCGAAGTGGGGGCCCCGCCGGACATGGCGCGTCGGTCAGAGAGCTCGCAGCGCAAGTGGATGCATTGTCGCCGGCGGGCTTCTCGCCCGGCAGCGCGGCGGTCTCGGCCGCGGGGCCCTCGGCCAGCCAGGTCGGGGCACCTGGGCCCCGGGGGCGGGCGGTGCCGGGAAAGGTCGCGCGCGTCGCGGAGCAGGCGACGATCGCCGAGTCAGATCCAGGGCCGGGCCGCGTCTTCGCGGGGATGGGCAGGTCCGCGATCAGCAGCGGGGCGAGAGGGCCCGCGAGTTGATGCTGACCGACGTCTGCGCAGGCGGGCGCGCGCGCGGCCAGCGCGACTTCCCGCGCGCGCCCGAGTCGCCCAGCGGGGCCCCGCAATTTCGCGGTGGCCGACGGCGCTTCGCTGGGGCGCTGGGGCCAGATGACGGCGGCGCCCCGCGCTTCGCAGCCAGCCGCCGCATCATCTTTGAGTTCCAGGTGACGAACGCGAAGCATATCACCATGGGCGTCGGCAAGTTCCCCATGGGGCGCGGCAGCCGCGCGGCGTGGCAAGACGGACAAGGGTGAGTACTGCGGCGGGAGACTGCGGGGCTCAAAGTGAAGAGGCCGACCGCCGCTGAGTGCTGGGCCAGGGGCGGGTGCGCCCGGGACTGCTCGATGGTGAACGGCGCGCTTGTGGCGCCGGCGGGGGCGGCAGCCGCGGCGCGACCTGCGGGGGGGGGGTGACGGCCGCGCGGCAGAGCGGGCGCTGGCAGGCGCGCCTCTAGCTCGGACAGCGCGGCCCCGACCAGCGGCAGGTGGGGCGCTGGCTCAGTCAGCGGGGGCGCGGCCGGCGGTGGACGCATTGACCGATGGCCCGTGGAAGGGCCAGCGTCGATCCTCGGCGATCGCATCCGCCGGGGGCCCGAGGCGGCAGCGCGGGGCATCGCGGCGCCGCGTGGGCCGAGCGCGGGGGAGATTGAGAGGTGCGAACAAACGCGCTGCCTGGGAGAAGCCTGGCGTGAGATCCGCGCGCAGGCGAGGGCCAATCACGTTGCGCGCAGGAGGGTTGACGGGGGGGCGCCGTCGTTCCGCGGATCAGTTTCGATGGCGGTTGGGCGATCGAGTCATCTTCGAGTTCGCGGTCGGGGGCGACGCCTCCACGGGCGCCGCGTGGGGCGCAGCCATTATCGTGGAGGGTCGCGACAACATTTGCGCCGTGGCCTCGGCGGTATCGTGCATGGCTGAACTGCGACGCTCGCGCGTTGAACTGCAGTCAGGGCGGGCAGCGAGGTTCTCGTTCATCGCGGCGTCGAGGACGGGGCCTGCCAGGCCACCCCGACGAGGCAGGCGGAGAGGCGCTATTCCCGGGCGGGCAGGCGGGTGCCATCCAGACTCCGAGGAAGCAGGTGGAGGTTCTCATGTAATCGCTTCGCGTCGGACTCCCCGGTCTTCGCGCTGCCTCTCCGCCGCGCCGCGTGGCGCCGCGGCGGGTGCCTGGTCGTCGGTGCGTGCGCGGGCGGGGTGGGGGGGCCCCGACCTGGCGCCCCGCGGGAAGACGCGCGAGCGGGAGTGCCAGGGGCCGATCGCCGCAGTCGGCGGGGCGGTGGTCTGGGCGCGGCCCGATGCCCCGGTCGACGAATTGGAGCTCGCGCGCCCTGCCGGGTAGAGATGCCAGGGCCGGCGAACGCGTCGTCGGCGCTCCGGCGGCAAGCGCAGGGGCCAAGCCTTGTCGGGCAAGAAGACCTGGGCGCCTTGCAGGATCGCCCCGGGCCGCCGACCCAGAGATCGATCCGGGGTCCGATCATCTCGGGCCCCCCCCCCGGGGCGCTGGCGGCCCCGTCGCGCGCGCCGCCGGCTGGAGCGGCGGGGGCAGCGGCGCAGGCAGAAGGAGGCAAATCATCGGGAGGAGAAATTCCGTCAGGAGTAGGAGTTCCGCCGGGAGGTGGGGCCTCGCCAGGGGGGGCGCGGCGGGGGGAGCTCCGGCAGCAGCGCGCGCCCCCAGATCCGCGGCAGCAGCGTTGGGGTCGCAAGGGGGCCCCGCGTTTGCCGACGTGGGCGTCGATCGGGCCAGACTGCGAGCGCGGCGCCGCAAGCGTAGGTCGCCCATGGGCGTGGATCCAGCGCCGGCGGCTCAGGGGGGCGATCGGGGCACTCCCGGAAAGCTCGGGGCGCTCTTGGCGAGGCGTGGCCCCGCGGGGGCGGCGGCGACGAGCGGCGCGACGCCGCCGGCTCGGCCGGGGGCGAGGGCGGCGCCGGCAGCCGTGGCAGCGGCTCCCAGGCGGGAGCGAGACGGAGACGACGTAGGTGACCAGGCCAGGAGAAGGTCGCGGATCGCCGCGATCTGCGCGGTCAGCGAGACGCGCGAGGGGCCGACGGTAGAGGGCGACGAAGTCTGCGCGAACGGAGGCGACTTCCACGAGGAGAGTATGGAGCACCTCGAAAAGATCACGGACGACGGCGAGAAGATCGCGAAGCAGATGCCGGTCGTCGAGATTACCTCCAGGATCTTGATGGTCAAGTGGGTCGGCGCTTGCCAGGCCGGCTGCGGCGTGGGGGGTGGGCGGGCCGCGCGGGGGCTTGAGCCGTGGACCTACGGCCATTATATATATATGTGTGTGGCCACTGCTCCGTCCCTGCCTCGCCTGATGGCGATGTGGGTCAGCGCGGGGGTGGGCGGCCGCGTGCTGGCGCTTGGCGATTGCAGTGGGGCGTTCTACCAGGTGCCCTGGGCGGAGGACGGGGTCTCTTGGAACCGCCGGCAGAAGCAGGGGCGCTCGCAGGTCGCGCGTGGGAAGCGCTGCGCGCCTTCCCAGGGCTTACTATTTGCGCCCCAGGCATGGGGGGATCACGTCGCAGTGGCGATGGGGCAGGTGGGTCTTGGTCGAGGGTGTCGCGGCGGCTGCGTCTCCGTGAGGGCCCGAGACAAGCTCGGGGCAGGATGGCGCGGCGGTGACTACCTCGCGGCAGGGCCCCGGGGGCCATTTGACCAACCATGTGCGGACAACGGCGAGATGCTTGGGCTCTCGGGCGCGGTCGAGCTGATCAGCGCAGGCGACGTGGGCGCCTTCCCTAGCGCGCGGGTCCGCGAGACTTAGGGCGGTTGCGCCATCGAGGGCATGGCGTCGCTGATCGAGGGCGCGCCGCTGGAGCTCGGGTTGCAGACAGAGACGACGAACGCGGTTAATCGGGGGGGCGACGACGAGGTCCTGAGAGCAGCAGGCCACGGCGCGCGGATAACGCGCGCGGGGAAGTTCCTGCGAACGTCGAGCCGCCGGGCTGGCGTGCAGCGCGGAGTTGGAGTGCGTGTCCGCGGCGTGGCGGCGCCGGCTCAGAGGGCCAGCGTGCGTCGAAGACGATGGCGAGGTGCCCAGCAGGGGCCGAGGGCGCGGATCTATTATTGGAACCAGCATATCAAGCAGATCGCACAGTGCCCTACGGACGCAAATTGGGCAGACACCGAGAGCAACGGAATCTCCGTCAACGGCGGTGCGCTGGAGTACCGCGGATGCACTGTGCCGTCGCGGGCGCGGTGTCAGGGCGGCGCGGCCTTGGGCTCGGCAGAAGGCGAGCTGTGCGCATGAGGGTCTTTCGCAGCCGAGGCGCTTGAACTGCCATCGCTGGTGCGCGAGTGGCACGGGGGCGTGGCGCCTGTCCTGGCAAGCGACGGCAGCGGGGCTTTGCGCGTCGGGGCGAAGAGAGGACCAGGTAGGATGAAATACATCGAGATCGGATTCTCGGCGTTGCCGCAGCGGCGCGAGCAGGGGCGCCCCGAGTTCGACGGGCCCATGCGGGCGACAACGAATCAGGCGTGCCGATGAAGCCGACGGCCCAGGAGACGCCTGTGAAGTTCCCCCACATGCAGGCTTCGCTGGCGGACTGTTCCGCCGACTAAGCGACGGCGAACTGGCTGAGGCAGTTCGGGCAGTCCGTGACAGGACGAGGAGCTTGAGCCAACAGAATGGCTAGGGGGCACCAGCCATGGGCGGTGCTGACAACGACAGACGCAATAATGACGGTGAGGCCAGCGTGCCTTGCCCGAGCGAGTTGCCCAGACATTCCTTTGCGATCCCTGGGCCTGCAGGCTTGGCGCGATGGAGGGCGCGTTGAGATAATGTGTGGCAATGTGGGAGGGTAAAGGCATGCGCCGTAGCAGGCAGGACGGTGAGACTGGGGCGGTACACATTTGACATGCTTTTTGTGGAACTGCGCGCGCGTTCCGCAGACTCTTTGGCGCAAGAAGCACCGCCTGGGAGTCGCGGCAGAGATGCGCCCTGCCCTGATCGTGCATACCTGACGATACGTTATTTCGTTTGGAATGTTCATGCGCATTGTCGCCTCGCGTGGAGAAGGGGTTGGGTACGTTTCGGGTAATTTATTTACAGCCATCCTGTGGTGTTGGTTCCTCGTTTTGAAGAGACAGTGCCTCGCGTCTCCTTCCCCCCCCTTTTTTCCCTCCTCCCCCATCCTTGCCTGCGATTGTTTCGGCGCACCCTTCACGCGATCCGTGGCTTCAGGAAGCTCCGCCGAAGGCCCCCATGGTTGCGCACTCATACGCGGCCCCCGCCCATTGCGACGCACGCACATGCTTCGTGGTCATCATCGGGGATTCCACCGAAAACCCCAGTGGCAGGGTTCGCATGCGGTTCCCCGCCCAATCTGGGACACCCCTCGCTCGGTGCGTGGCCCCATAGGGAGCTCCACCGAACGGCCCCAGTGGTAGGGTTCGCATGCGGTTCCCTGCCCATTTCAGAAAACCTTTCACATGTTTCGCGGCCCAATCGGGGATTCCACCGAAAGCCTCAGAAGCAGGGTTCGCATGCGGTTCCCCGCCGATTTCGGCATACCTTTTGCACGTTTCGTGGCCCCGTAAAGAAGTCCACCGAAGGCCCAAGTGGCAGGGTTCGCATGCGGTTCCCCGCCCATTTCGACACACCCTGGCACGCTTCGTGGCCGCCCCATAGGGAGCTCCACCGAGGGCCTCAGTGGCACGGTTCGCATGAGGTTCCCCGCCCAGCGATGCACACCCATCACACGCTTCGTGGCGCTATCCTCGTCCAGGTGTGGGCGACCATGATGTTGTCGATGATGACGATGCCGATGCCGATGACGATGACAATAATGGCGATGCTGATGGTGTGATGGTGGTGGTGATGATGGTGATGCTGGTGATGATGGTGATGATGATGATGGTGGTGGTGGTGGGAATGATTATGATGATGCTGCTGATGATGCTGATGATGATGATGCTGCTGATGATGATGATGATGATGGTGGTGGTGGTGGTGGCGGTGGTGGGATGATGATGGTGGTGGTGATGATGATGCTGATGATGATTATGGTGATGATGCGGATGATGATGCTGATGATGAGTATGGTGATGATGATGCTGATGATGCTGGTGATGCTGATGCTGATGATGCTGATGATGATGATGATGATGTTCACTATGGTGATGATGCTGTTGTTGCTGCTGTTGCTGTTGCTGTTGCTGTTGTTGTTGTTGTTGTTGTTGTTGTTGTTGTTGTTGTTGTTGTTGTTGTTGTTGTTGTTGTTGTTGTTGTTGTTGTTGTTGTTGTTGTTGTTGTTGTTGCTGCTGTTGTTGTTGTTGTTGTTGTTGTTGTTGTTGTCGTCGTGGTTGTTGTTGTTGTTTAAGGCGGCGGCGACGATGGAGATAATGATGATGATGATGATGATGATGATGATGATGCTGATGATGATGATGATGATGATGATGATGATGATCGTGGTGGTGATGATGATGGTGACAGTGATGGTGCTGATGATGATGGTGGTGATGGTGATGGTGATGATTATTGTGATTCTGGCCCTGGTGGTGATGATGGCGATGATGACGATCGTGCCAGTGATAGTGCTGGTGGTGCTGGTGAGGGGAAGGATGAGGAGGAAACGGGACATCGGGGAGGAAAGGGGATTCTGCCCCTCCGTTGTCCCAAGGAAAGCACGGGCGCGGCACGGTACCGTTCTGTCGTTTGTCACGTGCTGGTTCTGCTTCTTCCCTTCGTCCTGCTCCATCCCCTCGTCCTCCTGCTCCGTCCCCTGTGATCCTGGCGTCTCACTTTTTCACAACGGGTGATTTTCCTTGCTTTCGGGCCCCAAGAGCGTCGCGGATCGATATGGCCCGAAAAATGCCGCATAATGGTGAGACCCAGGGCGCCGGCCAGGTATTTCCAACGTGTTGTATTTTTCGTGACGTCGGATCTCAATGTCCCCGCTCCTCGCTCCTCCTTGGCAGCGGCGATGACGACGAGCGAGCGAGCGAGCGAACGAACGAGCGAGCGAGCGAGAGAGCGCCCACGCCAGCGAGCGAGCGCGGCGCCCCAGCCAGCGGAGCCACCCAAGCCGCTCCCCAACGCGCCGTTCTTCCTGCCCAGCGCCCACGAGGGTGTCACCCCCAGGCTCCGGCACGGAGGGACAGAGGAAGGGGGGGGCAGGAGGAGGAGGAGGAGGAGGAGGAGGAGGAGGAGGAGGAGGAGGAGGAGGAGAGGAGGAGGAGGGAGGAGGAGGAGGCAGGAGGAGGAGGAGGAGGAGGAGGAGGAGGAGGAGGAGGAGGAGGAGGGGAGGAGGAGGAGGAGGAGGAGGAGGAGGAGGAGGAGGAGGAGGAGGAGCCGCCGAGTGCCCCCTCCGCCCCGACCATTTTATTCCGCGTCGCGACGCACACCACCTCCCCCCTTCCTATGCGCGCCCCCAGCGCCCCAATGGGACCTCCGCCCCGTGTCCCCTCCGCTCCGAGCATTTTCTTCCACGTCGCGACGCACGCCACTTCCCCGCCCCCCCCTTCCCCACCTGGGATTTGGGCCGCGTTGCTGGGCCCCGAGGGGCGATGTCTTGCCCCCTCTTCCCCCCTCCTCCTGCACCTCCTCCTCCTCTTCCTTCCTTCTGGTGCAAAATCAATGGCACACGTGCCACTTGTTTTCGCGGGGGGAGTTGCGAGACCTTCGAGGAGGCTCTCGCGGCGGCCCAGGCGTGCGCCAGGTGCTTGCCCCTCAAGGGCGGCTCCAAGGGGCGCCGCGGTTGCGTGGGCGAGCGCTGCGAGATTGTTGGCAACAGGCTTCCTGGCGAGGGGCGCCAAGGATCTGGGGGATGCGGGCAAGCTTTAGGCCTCTCGCGAGAGACTGCGGGGCGCGTCCTCGTCGTCGTAGTCGTCGTCGTCGTCGTCGTCGTCGTCGTCGTCGTCGTCGACGTCGACGTCGACGTCGACGTCGACGTCGACGTCGTCGTCTTCGCGCGACGACCGCGGCGACGACGATCTCCTTTTTCCCCGTCATGCATCCCTCGTGCGACTTGCTGGGACAAATCGTTTATCATCCCCCCGAGACCTCGAGTTTTTTTTTTTCCCCCAGGTGTTATTCTCAGGGGCGTAGGCGTTATTCTTCTAGTGGGCCCGCCCCGGCGTCTCATCGCGCATTTTGCCGTGCGCCGCCCATCCCGCCGACTGCCCCGGGGCAGCCGCGGCGCCTCTCCGGGCACTCCAAGGCTTTTAAGAATGCTCGGGATGACCGCGACGGCCGCCAAGATGGCCAAATATGCTTCTAGGGCGGCCCCGTATCCCGCGTGACCGCGAGAGGCCGCCTCGACCTTCGACCCGCGTTGCACATTCTTGGGGCCCTGGCAAGTCCATGGGTTTGCAACTTGGGCCACGAACTGCGCGCCGAAAGGTCCCCCGCCTGAAAGGGGATAACTGGATCTCGGCGGCGCTGGGCCGGCGGCGGAGGCTCGCCGTGCTGGGGCAGGCGGCTGGGCGGAGGGCTGCGGCTCTCGCGACGTCTGGTGTCGCCGCGTCGGCGGGGCACGGAGCGGTGGTGTCGGGCTTGGCCGACAAGCCGCTGGCGCAGTTGCGTACACTGGCAGCTACCACGGCAGGGGCCAGGGCGGGCTGTGGCGCGGCGGTGGTCATGTTGCTGCGGGAGAGCGAGGAGTACGACCCCATCTTCGCGACCACGATCCCCTGGTCGTGCGACTGGCGGCTTGGGCGTGGAAGAGCAGTGGGTCCCTTGCCCAGCTGCAAGCGTGCTGGATGAAGGTGGGGAGCGGGCGAAGCTGGTCAACCAGCCTCTCCTGGGCTACCGCCGTAGGGCCTGTGGGGGCCACCTGGCTCTCTTTGGCCAGGGTTGGCCGGTTCATGAGGTCAGCATGGGTCCTCCAGTCCGACGTGGGCCCGTGCGTCTCGCTTTTGACAGTGCCGCCCCGCGACGTGCAGGACGACCTCGAGGAGGAGCTACCGCGCTGGCTCCGTCGGCGTTTGGTGGCGCATCTACGGGGACAGACCAACGAGCAGCTGTGGCCACGGACCAGCGATGCAGCCCGCGATGGCAGAAAACGGATCGCTGCAGGCACTCTGGGGTGGATGCCACACTACGCCGGCAGCTGGAAGTTCGAGATCAGCGTTCTGAAGTCTGAGGAGTGCATTGCCCGTAGTGCGTTCGAGCACGCCATACGGCATCGCTGGTGCGCCTGCGCCCCTTTCATCGCGCCGCAGTGGGGCGAGCTGGAGCCGGGGTGGCTTTTTTGCAAGTTCATCGAGTCCATGCGCGGCTGGCGGAGGCCGGCGACGGGTGGACATCGGGGACAGAGAGCTGCCACTGTCGCACGGCCTCCCGCTTTTGCCTCAGTGCCCGCAGCCCGCTTCTGACCACGTGGAGGTGCTTGACTGGGGAGATGTCAGCGCGGCGTGGCACGACGCGGTGTGCGCGGTCCTGGGAGTGCCAGATGCGCGCGGCTGCGGTCGGACGGCCTTGCCCCTCAGGGCCGCGAGTGGAGTGCTGCTGGGGGTCGCGTGGCGTGGGGGTGGCGGGCTCGGTGGTCGCGGCGCTCCATGCCGAGCTCCTGAAGGGGGTGGGCGCAATCTTGCGTCGGCTGCGGAGTTGCTAGAGTTTACAAGCTGGATCCCTGGCAGCCCTGGGGTGCAGGGGGCAGCCTGGCGAGGTGGAGGAGGTCGCCGACCTTGCCGCGGTCGGAGCTGACGCCGACCATGCATGTGCTGCAGGTCTGCGGCGGGCAATGCAGGCAGTTTGCGATGTGTGGCAGGTCCGCATTCGCGGCCGAGTCCGGGGACCACGTGGCACGGGCCGCGCAGGCCGTCCGAGATTGGGCAGGTGAGGGCCAGGCGCGCCGCTGGATGTCAGGGGCTTCGGATCTTCGTCAGCTCGGAAGCGGTGTCGCAAGGGCTGCTGACGGCGCCAGCGGATGGGCGAGGGGTCGAGCCGCGGCGGGGCCCTCAGTCAGACAGCTGAGAAGAAGGCCGACGAGGATTGGACACAGGGCAAAACCCAGACCCTGCAGGAGAGGTCTGAACTACCTAGTCAAGACAGCAGGGGTGGGCAGCGGGCGCAGTGCTGGCAGGCAGACGCAGCCGACGCTTGCAGGGCCGACAACAGGAGGCAACAGCAGGGTGCGCTGGACGGACCGCGACTGGGGAGGGGGCTGCCGGCGCTTGTGCCGCTCCAGGAGGCCGTTGGCGACGTCGCCAGCTGGTGGGTCGTCGATTTGGATTGTGAGCAGACGGCGACAGAGGCAGTGGCGGCGGGGCCGGGAGGAGCAGCAAAGGCAGAGGATGAAGAGTCCGCTGGCGGCGATGGCGCGCCCCCGAGGAGGTTGCGGTCGAGGTCGAGGGGTCCTCGCGGCGGCGGCCCGGCCGTCGGCCGCGGCGGGGCCGAGCGGAGGCGCGAGGCGGTCCGCGGCGTGGAGGCCCTGGTCCATGACGTGCGCGCCGCGGGCCCCTGCGGCTTCTGCAGGGGATGCGGCGCCTTCGCCGGGCTGGAGGGCCGCGACGGGGTCAAGGGCCTCAAGGTGCAGGGCCGCGGCGCCCTGGCCCGCGCAGGGGGGTGGCGACGGCGGGCGACGAGAATCATAATAGTAATATTAGTAATCGTAGCAACCATTTTAATCACATTAATAGAACAACAAGAAGCATACCAATCCGAATACTGATAAGAGAAGTACCATTGACCTTGACCAAACGGATACGAAGAAGACGAATAAACATAAGACGAGTAATTATGTTGTTAATGGATACTATGAAGAGGAATGATATGAGTCGTAAAACTACTACTCAGACGAAAAAGTATCAGGAGGGAAGAGCCACACAGACACAGTGAACCTTCGATCCCCAGGGAAACATGAGAAACTATGGGACGTGGGGGGAAGACAAACACCCATAACACATAGGAAAGTATGGTGAATCCTGTTTTGTGTTTTCATTTGTGTGGCCCAAGGCCCCTTCATAATAGTTATACGAAACATACAAGTGATACTAAACCAACATATGATGACGAATACGGGCAGCACTAAGGATTTTGATGCTAGTGTGCGGAACAGCAAATCGTAATATCATTTCGGAATCGTACGAAGAAGCTTGAACGTATGTCTGCTATTAATTCTGTCATGAGCAGTAAACATACTATTAAGCAGTTAACGAAGAGTTCGAATCGCAATCATGCGACTACTACTAAGGGCAACGACGATATTGATTTTAGTACCATTACACATGTTACCACTATTACCAACAGTTACACACCAATCATTCGTAGTAGAATTGAACATAGAGGGGGCGAGGATGATGACGATGCGGATGATGATGATGCTGCTCATGACGACGGTGATGGTGATGACAAGACTAGCACTACCAATGACCAAACAAAGTAAGTGAATAATGATAAGAACGTTAATGCGAGGACTCATACGAATATATGTTACCACATTCACTAAGACTAGTGTCAGTAATGGTAAGATGGTCCGCTTGCTGAGCGGCCTCGGCCCGTGCTCGGGCAGTTTGCTGCCCACAACCTAGTGTGCGGGGTCAGACTTCACCCCTCAGGCGTAACATGCCGTGCCGCGGCCCAGCGCTCACCGCCGGCGTCCTGCGGGCCGCGGCGGGTGCCTCTTCCAGGTGGGGAGCCTGGGGCGGGTGCCGCGCGCTGCCCCGCACGGGGGCGCGCCACGTGGGGCTGCGCCCGCGTTTCGCAGTGCTGCGTTCGGCGGGGCGCGCCAGCGGTACCAATAAAAAAAAAGAGAAAGAGCGAGAGAATAATAAAACGGCGTGTGAACATATACAGAGAAGGACAAAGAGAGAGAGAGAGAGTGAGAGAGAAAGTGAGAGAGAGGGAGAGAGAGGGAGGGGGAACGAGAGAGAGAGAGATATACATATGTCTGTCTGTCTGTCTGTCTGCCTGCCTGTCTGTCTGTATGTATGTATGTATGCATGTATATATGTATGTATGTACTCGTAGAAAGAAAGAGAAAGAGAAAGAGAGAGAGAGAGAGAGAGAGAAAGAGAGAGAGAGAGACAGAGAGCGAGAGAAAGAGACAGAGAGAGAGAGGGAGAGAGAGGAGGGATGTGGCAGGGGTTGAAGTGAGGGAGAGAGAAGGAGAGAGAGAGAGAGAGAGAGAGACGGAGAGAGAGAGAGAGAGAGAGGGAGAGAGATAGGGAACGAAAGAAAGAGACAGAGAGAGAGAGAGAGAGAGGGAGGAAGAGAGAAGACAGGAGTTGGCGACCTCCCGCTCTCCCCGTGGCGGCGCCTCAGGTTCGCCGCGCCGCTGGACGCGCCAGACGGCGAGGGCGAGGAGGCCCGGGAACCCGCCGCGGGGGCGGTCGCGGCGGCGCGCCGGCTGGATCGGGATGGGCTCGAGCCGCCGTGCTCGAGGCAACGTTTGTGCGTGCGTGTGTGTGTGTGTGTTTGTGTGTGCGTGTGTGCGTGTGTGCGTGTGTGCGTGTGTGTGTGTGTGGTTGTGCGTGTGTGTGTGTGTGTTTGTGTGTGTGTGTGTGTGTGCGTGCGTGCGTGCGTGCGTGCGTGCGTGCGTGCGTGCGCGTGCGCGTGTGCGTGTGTGTGTGTGTGTGTGTGCGTGTGTGTGTGTGTGTGTGTGTGTGCGTGTGTGTGTGTGTGTGCGTGTGTGTGTGTGTGTGTGTGTGTGTGTGTGGAGGTGGAGGACCAGCTCGGCGGCGAGCCCAGGGGGTAAATGAGAAGGGACGGGCTTTCTCGGAAGGCTCCGAAGCCACGCGGCCTTTTGAACAGTTTCTGAGCCTTCCCCGAAGACGCAGAAATCTTCTCAGAAGGCCTCCGGCCGCCTTCTGAGAAGGCCTTTTCCGTCTCACTTCCCCCCCTCGCTCGCCGCCTATAGGCTCAGGGGGGATGCGTCGCCCCCCCAATCGCCCGTTGGTCGTCCGATCGTGCTTTGCACTCCCAGGAACGTGGGGGCTTGTTCTCAGGGGCCCATCGCCGATCTGTCGGCGACGCGTCGCCGATCCCAGGTCGATGTTTCCCTCCCTGAGCGGGCCCCCCCCCGTAACGTTCCCCTTTCAGGCTTTTGGGGCGAGGGGGATGAGAGAGCGGAATCGAGAACTGACATGTCTCTTCTCACCCCCCGTTTGGCCTCCCAAGGCCTACCCGGGCGCTCCCGTCGCCGCGGCCAGATTCGTCCCGAGATCCTTGCCAGAACGCGTTCCGAGAGAGGCCCGGGGATTGGTTCTGAGGGGGCATTCAGGAGGAGGAGGAGGACGGAGGGAGGGGGAGAGTGACCAGAAGGACGAGAAGGACAAG